AATGAGTCCAATGCTGTCGATTCAGACCTAAGTGTAAAAGAGGCTAAAGTCTTGTCCCAAGTATTCGTTGACTAAGTAGTGGTAGACTTTGAAAACCTTAACAATTGTCTCATTGATAGTCAGGCGTGAAAATGATTGGCACCGATGAGGATGAATTCTTGCGCATACTTTGCAGCCATAGTTTCATACAACTCAAGGATATATTCAAACATTACGACAGACTGACCGGACATTCAATGGAAACAGCCATCGCTAAAGAGTTTAGTGGAGATCTCTTCGCTATTTTCAATGCAATCGGTCTGTAATATAAATGCCTTTTATTTTATACACTATTACATACCTTATACACTATTTATTACATTTATGTGTACTATTCATAATAGTATTATATATTGTCTAATATCTTGTATTTAGTATCTCTTAAATTTAGTGAAAATCTTCCAATTGACCTAGTTTATAATTAATAATTAATAAGTTAATTCAATTTTTAATGCTAGTGCTGAGTGCTAACAGTTTTGCACACTATTATGCAATACGTCTTCATTCGTGTATTCATGGCATCGGAACAGACGACGAATCAATGACAAGAATTTTGATCTCAAGATCTGAGGTGAAAAATGTTGGACTCTTTTCAAATGAGTTGATGTTTGAAATGTTTGATTCATATATTTGAAAACAGATTGATTTGGAAGATATTAAAGATATTTATAAACGCAAATACAGTCGAAAACTGACGGATGACATCGCAAATGATACGAGTGGTGACTATAAGAAGTTATTGACCAGAATATTAAGTCCACTTTAAGTCATTTTCTATGTGTTAGTGCAGTTCACATAGAAGTGAGCACTAGTGTTCATTCATGTTGTAGTATATCTTATAAATTAATAGTCATTATAAGACAATTTAGTTAAATATTGTGGAAAATGTTCCAGTATAATATATCAAATGTTAATAAAAGTTCTTCCTTTGCATTAAATTTTTGAAAATATTTAAATATAAATGTAGAATAACTGTCCAAAGAGGTATCTGTATAAACTTAACTTAGTATTGATCCCAGGTTTTATAAATTTACTAAACAATAGAAACAATTGATTAAAGGTTTAATGAAATGATTGCGTTCAGAGTACAAACATTGCGGCACTGAATTGACACAACTCTAACGTTAACACTAATCACACGACATTCGTCAGTAAAAGGGAATCTAATGACATAAAAATCGCAAACAATCATATACACAGTAATACAATATGTAAATTCTCTAGTTGAGTTCTCTAGATGAGAAAGTACAACTTTGACAAACTTTAATAAACTATTAATATACATTAGTCATTTGCTATAATTTGTAATGATGTGCTATAATTTGCTTTATTCCGTAAGAATATAACATTTTCAATGTATTAGTACTGAATTGCCATTTATAATACACTATGGTTACAAGAGTT